CTCTAGCATCCAAGGCAAGCTTTTCGGATGCTCACTCCAACACACACAAGAGAAAGTTGCATCAGATCCGTGCGCATTACTAAATCTGTATTGTACACGAGAAACTCTGACAGATGACTAAACCTTTAATGGAGTTTGTGGATCAACTGTGCACTTTAACCCGACAGCGCCAGGCTTCCTGTGCTCAGAAGCACTGAGATGTTACATCAGCTATCCAACAACATTAGCCATCCACCAAAACACCAACTCAACTCCCCTGTCACACTCACACACAAGCAATATGTTGTTTTGTTTTTATAATTAAGTGCTTATTATTATATCTAAGGTATTTCCTTTTTAAATAAGCTCCTCTTTTTTACTCAGTGGTCAGTGTTTGGTATCATACAATCACAAACTAATATTTGTATCTTCATTCAAATGTATCCAGATGGATGTTTTTAAAAGTCGATTATTTTAAATTGAAAAGCACCACTCAGTCTATAAAAGCCTTTGAGGCAGCAGCTCTCTCTTACTCTCTCACAACACACACAGAGGCTGGCTCACAGTGTATCTCTCTCTCTCTCTCTCTCTCTCTCTCTCTCTCTCTCTCTCTCTCAGGGGTTATTGGGGGCCCAGCTGCTGACAGGCAGCAGACAGAAAGCCTCTCTCTCCAGGGAGGGTCCTAATGACTGAGGGGAGACATAGGGATCTGGCTGCTGGCCCACCATCACTTCCTCCTCCTCTTATCCTCAGTCGCACTGTGATGGCTGATCATGCTGCATCATCACCTCACTTTTGTTTCATAACATCTCAGGACGTAGGGGAGCTGATTTCCTGCAAAGGCAGAATTTCAAGACTGCTGGAATAGTTTCACACCATTAAACTGATGTTATTTGCTACAGTGTCTTTCAACTGGAACCAATAATGTGCTCTGCTGCAAGATACTGAGATCTTTCACCCAATTCATGTCTTAAAAAAGAGATGAGCTAAACCATCCATTTTCTGGATGATGTGCATTATCTTCATATATACATGCCTGTATTGACTGCTGTAAATCCACCCACATGCAGTGGTTTTAGGAGGTCTGTGTCTGAGCACTGACAGCCAGCAGCACAGAGGCATATAGTTGTATAATTACCTAAGTAGCTCAGGATTGATTTTCCTTGGCTTCTCTTTCATTAGGTTTATAACATAATGGCTGGTCTGTGAATCCCAACCAGTTATGTAACTAGTTTCAAAGCATTATTTCTAACAAATTTAGATCAAGGTAAATAACTGTGATCATGTTAAAATCATCTGAAAATGATTTACAAAAGCAGTGAGTTTTTTCTTTCTAAACTTGTTTAGGTGTCACATATTATCTTGTCTGAGAATGAATGAGAAAGTCCTCACTAGTTAGTTAGCTGTTCAACCTTGATTACTTCTGTATTTGAATTTTTAGTGATTTCACACAAATATCTACCATTCTTGCCTGACACAACACAAAACAACACTAAGACAAGGCTACACTGAACAAAATTATTGTGGCATGTTTATATGACGTACAAGGCCACTGTTGCTGTATTCAACCCTCAAATAAATGGACTCAATAACTCTGAACATCTCGCAGACTGAGTGCTTTCCAGAAGTGCAGCATACACATGATGACAATGCATGAATGATGAAGAGGTAGAATAAATGACTCGGTGCAGGACTTTATTGTCTCGACAGATGCTAATGGCACACTTGGCTTCCACCGAAGTGCAAATAAACACTATCAAAACATACAAAACACTTATGAGAGGAGCAAATGGAGAAGCAGCTGATTCAGGCAGGTGATGAAGTCTGTCACAGTCAAGGGAGTTTTAAAGCTGTTTCTTTTTCGTTAATGTCATATTATTGGATTATTATTCCTATTGTGACAGAAACTGCAGAATGATAAAGTAAAAAACTCCAACAAACTGCAAATATAGTATATAGATCATACAAGTTTAATTAACAGACCCTCTGGAGTGTCTTTTGTCAGAGTGCATATCCCACAATTCTTACTGTTTGCTTACGTAAAGGGGAACTACGCACATTTTTTAAAAAAATCATGCATGTTGTTCCTATCGTCTAAGACGGTCAAAAAATATAAGTAAACATGGACAACTCTGTCCAAAATCCAAAAACTTGCACTAAAACTCAAATGTGTGATGTCATTGCTTATAAAGTCTGAAGAACTGAGAAAGATGTTCTAGATCAGAGGCTCCCAACTGGTCCAGCCACGGGGCACAGATTTCTCCTTAGTCATTATAGTTTAAGGTCCACACAACTTAATATATTCAGTGTCATACTTGCGTTTGGCCATGTCCCTTTGCCAGTATTCTATCTCTGTTAAATAGATGTCGGTTAATCACTCACTCTACAGCAGGAAACGTCACTTTAAATAAAGCTCTGTGCCTGAAACTACTGTGTGTTTTTTTACAAACTTGATAATTATATTCGCAATACACTTGCGGTCGATTCAGAGTGGGCCCACTTTTGGACCGTGGCCCGCCAGTTGGGAACCACTATTCTAGAAGACAGAGACAGCACCCAGGGGAATGCTCTGAGTATATAGCTACATTCTCCGTTTCACATCTGAGAATGCTGCAATAGAAGAAAATCTCATTTGGGAATTAAAAAAAACAAAATCAAACTCTGGATCCACAAAATCAATGTCCCATTCACTGACTATGGAACAGCTCCAGACTAATTACCTCATGACATCATAAGTTTGAGACTTTCTTTTCTGGTTTCTGGTTTTGAGAGAGAGCAGCTCATGTTCACAAATATTGATTGAACCCTTGTGGTCAAAGGAAATAACATCCTAGAATTCTTAATTTAGGTGGGGCTCCCCTTAAAGGTGTTTTGACTAAAAAAAAAACAGCTAAATCCTATGATTTGTCTTGGACAAGCCATGTTGCAGTGTTTAATCAGTTTCTAAGGTTCCATTTATGTTGGACACTGTTCCGTAATTCAACACCTGTATATTATCAAATTAAGAGTTAATAATATAAACTAAATTCCACTAACATAACTTTAACATCAACTTCTGCAGTGCTGTGGTTGAGATGAATCCATCCCTTGTCTGCCATTGTGCCGAAGGAGATTAAAATCTGCACACACTCCCAACGATTCTATCCCCTATAGGGGAGGAAGAGGAGGACAGGCTTATTGATCATACAGTCATGTGAGTGCAGAGCACCATGTTGTGTATCTACAGCTCCATATTTCACTGTAAGTGCACAACATCGTTTTATAGCTCTGTAGCATCCTCCGTTCCTCCACCCGCCAGCGGCCCGCGCTCTGCATGGCTGCCTAGCAACACTCGCACGCGATGCAGCATCAGCACCAGGATCAGCTAATGGCCACCCGCAGAAATGCAGAGGCCAACAGCGACAGCTTAACAACACTGTGCGGCTCTCCTCTGCAAAGAACCGAGCAAACGCGCATTTAGAAACCATCATGGAGCTCATCCTGTCCCGCATATTAATCCTGACACCGTCCGGAGCACAGAGGCTGAGCTACTGTAAAACAACAAGCAGCCATCGCTGGCACGCTAATGAGCCAGATTAGACAGTGCAGGGCTAAAGCTCTGAGAGGGCTCTGCCATCACAGACTTGCAGTCTCACTCTATGAATACATGACACAAACTGCACATATGGGACCTTGCACTCGTCACGGGCCTCCATCAGCAGAGCACAATGAAGACAAGCAAGCATGGGCGACATTTAGAGGATGCTGTGCGCCTAAATATAATTAGTGTGCAAGCACACAGTGCAACATATCTATCTATCTATCTATCTATCTATCTATCTATCTATCTATCTATCTATGTAGAAAGACAGCGGGATGCACAGTTTGAACGATAACAATATGGTAAACATCAGGCAGCAAGATCGCTACCGTGCACACACGGGCATGCACGCGTCAGGGAGGACCTTGCATCACGCCCAGCCATTTAACCATGACTGCCTTGTTCGACACAACCAAACACAAATGTTAGCAAACAGGGTACTCACCTCAGTGCATCCTCAGGACCGCGTCTTCTGTGCGGGTGCGGCACACCCACAGCCCGGAGCCGTCCTCAGAGGAAGCAGATGTGATTAATCACCACAAATGTGTCTCTATTGGTTCGCGACAGCAGGGTTCCTTTGTCAGACTATTTCAGGGCCTCAGCTGACACCAAGTCAATGGACCCCGATGTTTTTCATCGCTCGGTGCGCCTGGACCAGCCCACTGCCACGCCTGTCCACAGTCTGACACCCAAGGACTCCCACTCATTTAACTACAGGGGATCAGTCTCTGCAGCGCATTTAGTTATTGTGTTTGTAAAGCATACGAACAGCATTGGTGCATATCTAATGCTGTCTCCTAAAACGTTGTTTAGTTGGCTAGGCCCCAATTCAAGTCGGACAAAATATAACCCACCAAACAGGCGCCACCTCCTGTCCTAATGGAGAAGAGCCTGTGCACTGTAGAAAAGAGATGTCTGGTGGTTTTTGTCACAGCTGAATCCAGACTGACAAAAAAAATTAAGTGTGTTTACACAAGTACAGAACTTGAATATAGGTTTGACGTACCTGCACATTACTCGAGTATTTCCATTTCCTGCCACTTCATACTTCTACTCTACATTTCAGGAGAAAACATTGTGCTTTAATCCATTTGACAGCTGCTAGTTACATTGCAAATAAAGATCTAACATACAAAACATTCAGTAAAGTTATCTAAGATCATATTGCTATAGATCATGACAGCAAGTTTGCTCCACCTTCAACTTTACACCATTAAAATGCAGTTTAAATGTTAATGCATCAGACATAATAAAACATTCTGCATGACTTTGTAATGTTGATACTTTAGGTAAATTTGTCTGAACATGCTTCTGACTAGTAATCAGGCCCTTTCCTGTAATGAAATATTCTTATACTCTGGTTCTGCTACTTTAACTTCATTAAAAGTCTGAGTTGCTTCTTCCACCACTGCACAGTTAAAGACAAAAGCCGATTTGGAAATATGTTTGAAGTGACACCATGGATTTAATAAAGACACAGGTCACAGTGCGTCATTACAAAATTCATCATACATTTACATATTTTCAGTTGTATCTTTGACACAAAAATAGTACAAGGTAGTAGTGTGATTAAATTAAAGCTTTAAGCATGACACAGCATTCAGTTATAAGGACAAATCAACAGCAGAAATGTAGCAGAAACGTAACAAAAAAATGCCTGTCCTCTTAGCACAAATCTCTTCCTTCAAAGGACAATTCATCAAAGCTGATAATAATCATTTGATCTTTAGACTTAGAAAACAAACCTTTTCAGACGTAAACTTTAAAAAAGGAAGCTGTCTTGTACATTTTATTTAAGGGCTGCCAAGGATACAGTTTGCACAATAAAAATAAAAACATTCATTTTGACTCAAACAAAATGTAAACTTCAAAAGTAAAATTAAATAAGACAAATAAAATTGCATTTTCTTCGAGGTTAATCCTTTCTTTAGCAGGCCCCTAGAAAACAGAACAAGAATTACCTTATCTAAAATAGAACAGGTCCACAATCATTACACTCAGTGACTTGTTGAAAAAAATGATTTATCTAAATGGTTTGTTTTCCCCTTCCCCACCATACGGCATTGCTGTAGGTGTTTTAGTACACCCTGATGTCCCTATGGTTACAGGTGCAACAGAGGACACTACTGATCTCATTTCACAGAGATGCTGGGTGTAGCAGGCTTGAGATATTTAACCACAAGGGGGCACTGTAACAATGCATTTTAAATCGGTGTGGAACAAGGTCTTCTCCACTGTGCTCCAGTGTCAATTCAAAGTAAAGCATGAAAAAGTCAGAGAGGGGTTAATCCTTCTACATGCAAGAGTCTGGTGACCTCTTCAAATTATCAGTCACACCTCATTTCAACGTGAACAGACGACTAGTCACACAGAATAACTGGAAGCTTCTGTGTCAGTGAGCTGGGCCAGTGCTCACAGTGTCCATGTTAGAGGTGGCAGCAAGAAGATACAAGGATTTAACACTAAGAATACAGTTCAGTTATGAATAGGGCAATTAACATACAGCCATTTACTCTGGCTGTAAAACTGAATTAAGTGGCCCAACGTCAAGCAATGGGCCCTTTTCACAGCAGACATTTTGACTTGTCATGGCAGGAAAAGCAAAGGTGTCACTAACGGCATTAATGATGCTCCGTTATGTTCAAGTGTCCCAGTAAGTCATGACACTGAGCTATCATGCACAATATCAGGAGCCCAAGACTGATGCAGCTAATTGTAATTCAGTCACGATATAATTTTATTATTTACACGCACTTTTTCTACTATAACGTGTCAAAACTGCTCTCCTCTGTGAGCAAGGCCTGTGCTTGTTTTGTACCAATTATCAATTGAAAACATCATAAAAATGAACACATGGGGGCAACATTTGTGTATTATTGGATCAATATTTGGGTCTGACAATACCACCACCACTCATTAGAATAATAATTATATAATATTAGTATTATCATACCATCTGATATAACCTGCCTAATATTTAAATGTTGGTAATTGTTAACCTTTAAGTCTTGATGATGTCAGCAAGCTGCATTTCATCTGAAAATGTGTTTCTGTTAACTGATTTGATACTTATGTATTGAACATATCCAACCTGGCAGGTTTCCAATATCCGCTCTAAACACCACTCAGCAGGGTTGAGACATCTGTTGAATAAAGAAGAATTGCATCCATTATCATAAATACTTTCTGTATTTGTCTGTCTGTCCATTACATGTCTCATTTATCTTCTCACAGCACCATATTTGCCATGAATAAAACATTTTCCAGTTCCCTGAGGATAAACTGGACATGACAAGTCTCTACTGCTATAGGTTTGACTTTTCACTTTAGACAGATTTCCTCATTTGAACCTAGCCTTGGTGTCATTATTGCAAGTGCAGCTACACACACAACCACACACACACACACACACACACAAAAGGTTATAACTTGAACAGCAGGTTGCACCAATCGAACAATAAAAAAAATTGGTCTTGTCCTGATCTAAACCTCTTCAACTTGATTTATCCAATCAGATGACGAGGTTCAAGCAGGAAAGCTTCGAATGACTCAGATGTCGGGGCTACACTGAGGACAATCAGATGCTTCAGGCTGATTGCCATTTGTAATTGTGGAACATTCCTGCCACATCATTTTTGAAATTAAACACAGGTCTGATTGCTTATTGTTAGAAGCATTAGTCCTGTATATAGTATGAAGGCTGCCTGTACTGTGTTCACAAGGTTACACCATTTACCTGAAGCTGATGAAGATTTTGCATTCAGGCAGTCTATCAGCCGAATGGTTTAATTAAGTACGTGCCACATTAACAAAACATACATAATGAAGAATTGATTTTCATTGTAAAGCCACACTGTCATGTAAATTAGACTTCAATTTGCTACATTGTGCTAAATTAATGATACTGTGCAGGATGTACAGACTGATACAGAAGTAATCCCTCTCAATCATCACTTATGACCCACTAGATGTGTTTGGCGGTGTATTTATCTACTGAAACTCTGCCCTCTGCCTGTATTTTCTTCTTATTCTCTTTATGTAATACATTATGGGCATGTAGCCGCACAGTGCTCAGATGAGGTCGGGACTTTATAAAAAGATAGCGACCAGCTGCCAGACCATAAGCAGCAGGCATCCCAGGGACAAAATGTCATAAAATACAAATATAGCGAGGTGAAACGCCAAACTGGGGTTGACTTTTACCTTCACTGGTGAGCATGTTTATGAACAGTAACTGACTTTCCTGCATAGTAGACCTGTAACATCTAAGGAGTAATACAAATAAAAATGCATAAACTCCTTATTGGGACGTACAACACTGAGCGCCTCTTTTCATTCCTTGATGACCTTAAAAGTAACTGTAGTGGTTGATGCAGTATTTCTCTGTTTTGCAGGATGGTCACTTTTCCTTCCCCCTTACTTTCCCATTCCTCACCCCAACAGAGAAATTGCTTTCCTCCTGGAAGTGAAACATTTCTGACCACCAGACATTCAATCACACTCTTGGACACAATAAATGCCGGGACTTATCTGCAGAAGATGGCCAGGAGTGGACCAGAAATGCAAAGATCCATTATTGTGATGTAGTAAAATCCATGCAATACAGAAGTGGGCACCTTTGACAGTAATTCTGAATAAATAAAATGTACCCCAAGCACAATAGTGATACATATTGTAATGCTACCTGTTGGGGGACAAATGTTGTCAGTGTTCTGGCACAAGAGTTGATCCTGAGATGGGTATTAAAATCATTTGGTTGCATACAACAACAATAGTGATGAAAGAATATCAACTAATTTCTGAAACACTTACTCTGCAGGAATTAATTTCATTTACTTAAACTGCCATTTTGATATGCCCAAAGTTTACACTGTTGTATGTTAGTATATTATGAAGATGAAAAAGGTTGGAGAACTATATACTATTGTATTGGACTGTATTGTAGTGTACAAACGTTGCTGTTATTGTGTTCTCCTCTTGCAGCATCCTATTTATCTACTCTACTTGTTCATATAAATTTCCATTTCTGAAAACTAAATTAACAGAATAAATAAAATCTTATTCTCTTGATGTATTCATCATATAATATTGTGATGTTATATTCTTATGTGTCTATGTGGGATGGACTATTGGAAAATTCCACTGAATCCACAAACCACCATGTTTTTGTATTTTGTTTTTGTTTTTTTTTTTGGTGTGCAACAAAGGTACCTGTCCAGAGGCAAAGTAAGGATTCAAATTCTAATTAAATTTCAACCTGAGGCTTCCTTTTATGGGTTTATATTAATACAGTTAACATGAGTTCTTGTTAACGCCATTACATCAGTGTCTTGTGCACAAATTAAGTGTAAAACCCTAGAGGGAAAAATGTATAACATGTTCTTTTTCTGAGGCATGACTGAGATTTTTTTCGCTGGCTGACAGACTGACTGGGAGAGTGTTAGCATAACATGGATTCCTAACCTACATACACAGTCCATCTTCATAATTGCCGCAGCTCCCTAGCCAGCATCAGAAATGTAGCTGACAAACACCAAGCATAACATTATATATGCAATATTGTATTACATGTGCAGACTATTAGGAAAGTGGAATGAGTTACCAAAGTCTGATCAGGAGCTACTTGGATGATGAACTGGTATCCAGGCATAACACAATGTTGCAACACCAGTCTGGTCATATCTCCGTCCTCTGATACCGGCTCTGAGGGCATGGTGAATCCATCCTCAATGCACTCCTCTGACACGTTCAGCAGCTGTCAGGAAAAAGCAAGCAGGTCAAATTTATTTTAAGAAAAAATCACCTTCTACTATCAAATACCCACCTGCTTTTTTGGAAAATATGAACCATGTCAGTTACAATGAAAAATCTGTTTTCACGGCAGCAGAAAAGCACAAGAAATCTCCATATCAAACACTGATAGTTTTATCAAAGTATGGCAAAGTATGGAACATAAAAATCAGATTGCTGAATGTCTGACAGGCATTTTTAAGAACTGAAGGATTCTAATTTGAAGACTGTAGACTGAACTTAACAAACAAATAAAGTTACTTGACATAATACCACTGCTTCTTGTCTCTGTGTGACATCTGACAATCAACTTTGATTTTGATTTTGAACTTTGGAAACTCAGAAAATCAGACTGCCATACAATCATTTTGAGAGCCACACCACTATTACAAGTCAGACACTCTGCTTTCAATCAGGGATGCAGATTTAATAAAAAAAAATGGAAGCACTTGTACTGAAAGAGATAAGAAAAAATGAAACTACTAAACAAGAAAATGCATTAACTCTGTTGTAATTGTAGCTATTGTTTATAAGATGAATATGGAGTGTTTCTTACTTTCTAATAATCCATAAAGTCTAAGCTTAAAAATGTTGGATTTTGGTCCTGATGCTCAGCAGCACTTTTTCTAAAAGACAGACCAGGCAGAAAGCTGCATGTAATATAAGGATGAGACTAAATCTAAGTTAAGAGACGAGTTGATCTTAAAATTAAAGTTAGTTTTAAATTATTTAAGAGTGATAAATACTATCTTTTTTTACATTCACCTCCCTGTAAGCAATTGTTTGTTATCATGTGAAACACTTTGTAAAGTCTGTTTGAACACAAGCTTTGTGAATTAATCATTGATCATCCCTCTGATGATTTTACCACAATGATGGTTTGCAGAAACATAATGAAACATTAGTACAGACGCTACAATTATCCACAGCTGTGCGTAATGACAGCTGCCCCAGCAGTGTTAGAGGACCTCGCTGATGTGACAGGTCTAATGAGTGGCACAGCATGCACGAATGTAAATATACTAACAGATGTTTAATAGCTAACTGTGAGTAAGGAAATGTGGCTTGTGCACTTGCGCTCAGCACCACAAGGATCGAGATTTAAAAAACAGAATCTTTACAGATCTTCCAAAAGTAATGCATAGACATATTTCTAAGTGTGTACGCACAGTTTTGGTGGTAAACCTACACAGCTCTAGGGATGCTTTCATATTAGGTATGATTAATTTGTACCGGGGCGTTGGTGGCTTAATGGTAGAGCAGGCGCCCCGTGTACAAGGCTGTTGCCGCAGTGGCCTGGGTTCAACTTCAGCCTGTGGCCCTTTGCTGCATGTCACTCCCCCTCTCTCTCCCTCCTTCAGGCTCATCTGTCCTATCGATTAAAGGCTTAAAAATGCCACAAAAAAAAACTCTTTAAAAAAAAGAAAAAATAAAATAAAAAAATTGTACCACGGCAAGTACGATTGCCCCCCTCTCTCCACTTCCCCACTGCTCAGCTTTCACATTGGCAATGATGTTCTGTACATAAGTACACTTGCATTATCATCTATGAGACATTTTGTTGTGTTTCAGTGTAGAAATTGTGCCACAGACAGACACTGCTGTCCTTGGGACCGTCATGAGCAGGGACTGGCTGAGCAGCAAGGCAAAGCTCTGCCCCTGGCCAGAGGAGGAGACGCTGCTGTTGGCAAAGAGCTCTCTGCCTCCTGCTGGAGCTCTGACTGCAGATCGAAGGTGGCGGCGAAGCCAGATCTGGGCCTGTCCCTGGCGGGCTACACTGCTGTCTGATATAGAGCCATTAGTCTTAAACTGCAACTGTTTCATAACCAGTTAAAAACTCCTTGTGGTTGTGTAAAACAGCAGTCCACCATAGCAGTCAGCTCTTAAACCTCATAGCCATTATTCATTTTCAAATCTAATGTGCTAGAGTATGAAGAAATACATACAAATGGCACTGTATATTATTTTATTACAGTTAGAACTTAACAACTAACTTTTCAAACTAGCATCACAATGTTACACAGTACAGTACATGAACAAAGCAGAGCAAAGTACAAAGACTAACACACTGTAAACTTAAATCTTGGCTTCATTTTTCTATGTCTTATTCCATTTTTTTATCTACTATAGAGCTGAATTTTCTTAAAATGTGAGCTGGTACAATAACCTAACAATGGAAATAAAGTACTTTAAAGTGAGGTGCTAGAGTTTGCTCTGTGATGTGGGAAATAACTATCAAACAAGTGTCATAAATGTAACTGCAGTGACAATGCTTTTAAATGTAATGAAAATGTGCCTGGCATAGTGTAGCAGAAATAAATGGCATCATTAATAATATTCTTGATTATATTCATGGTTGTATCTTGCATACCAAGTGAGAAAGGCCTGGCTGAGGGCATTGTTGATTAAATGTAACCCAGCAATTTACTCACTAAAAGCCATAATTCATCCTCATATTGCTCGGTTTGATGCGTGGTGTAATGATGTTTTGGTATTAGTTTCCGGATCTGGTCAGGGGAACAAACTATGCTAAAGTATGCGTTATCATATGCCATTACAACCAATCAACCACCCACTGCACTCCTGATTTCAATCACAGCATAATCATAATTTAGTATATCATTACAAAGTACTCTTTTACTGAATACACTCATGTTTTTTATTTGGATAAATGTATCACAATTACTCGCATGGATATTGATTGACATTCTGTTCCTGTCTTGGACATTGGCTAATGGAGCCTCTCATATGGGCTTTAACACCAGCCTTCACAGCTGTGAACAGTTACGCAACACTTCCTAGGGTGTGGCGCAGATGTAGAGCAGGTCATCCATCAACTGGTGGATCAGCAGTTCGATCACTAGCTCCCCAGTGTGCATGTCAAAGCATCCTCGGGCAAGATACTGAACCCCAAAATTCTTCCAGTGGCTGTTCTAATGGTGTGTGAGAGCATGTGAATGGTTACTGAGTAGCAGGTGACAACCTGTATGTGAATGTGACAGCACTTTGAGTGGTTGGAAGACTAGACGCTATACAAGTGCAGTCAGTTTGCCAAGTTAGGTTTGCCAGGTTAAGTTACAGAACTTTTAGCACACTCTTACCAACAAAAACAAATACCACCACGTCCTGCACCCATGATATGTGGTCAAATGTGTTCCAAACTACCTCAGCAAGTGGTTGTAATTAGTGGTCGTTTACGCTTCTATTTAGCACTGTCCACTTATCGGATCACTCGAAACGCATGCGAATACCGGGTCTAAACAGACTCTTTGATATTTCAGCTGTTTAGTTTGTGTGACTCATGACTGTGACTGACTGGAGAGCACTAAAAATCATAATTATTCTTCATATTTTATTATTCAAACAAGGCCTGTTATTTTGCAGTGCTTTGTTGTTCTTTTTTCAGATTTGATTAATGTTTGGGTGATTACATCAATAAACCAATCATTTATTTGTCACATGGGATTATACAAAGTACAGCCCAAGAGAAAAGTGATCCCATCAGCTCCTTTGACTTGTGCACTGTCATTTAGTCCTTTTTGCATCTTCTTACATTGGTGGCTGCTGCTTTAGAATTGTCCATGTTTCCATATGATTCTGTTAGTTATGATGCAGGATTTAAGCTCAGCTGGTGCCCATTTTGTCCATCTTTTCCTTGACGTTTACTGATGTTTACGTTTAAAAACCTTGAGTGAGCAAGCCAGTATCTAGCTAGCAGAGTCACAGGAGGAGAGTTTACATACTGGTGAGTGAATTTCCTCATCCCAATGCGTGACTTGCAGCCGCACGCCAACATAACCACAAAAAGCACCACTGAGACTTGCATAATAGAGTGCCGAAGTCACGCCCCTTCTAAGGTCCCTCATGGGACCCTCATGGGACCTTAGATCGGAAAAAATATGAATGGCAGTGAATGAGGAGAGAAATATTATCTTTTGGTCCCGTTTGAGTTGTGACATGAAATCCAAACATGTCGTTAATGAATTTAAAACATACATTTTAAGGTCAAGAAAGTCATACTTTGTGGTAAAACTGTTGAGATATAAGCTTTTGAAAAAAACATAATTAGAAAAATTACACAGGAGACGGTCGCGTATGTGACGTCATAGCTTTCGCTCGCTTGCTGCAGCTTGGAATGACTGCAACCTGGCACAAAACAGATAGACATCTTCAATCATAAATCGATTAATCATAAAACAGTGGAATTTCAGCGGGGAGGCCAAGCTGCAGGAAGCGAGTTAAAGCTATGATGTCACATACTCTACCTCTTCCTGTGTACTCTTGAGTCTTTCTAATTAATAAGTTTTTATCTCATCAGTTTTACCACAAAGTATGACTTTCTTGACTTTAAAATTTATGTTTTAAATTCATTAACAACATTTTTAGATTTCATGTCGCAACTCAAACGGGAACAAAAGATAATATTGCTCTCCCCATTCACTGCCATTCATATTTTTTCCGATCTAAGGTCCCATGAGCTCTACCGGAAGGGGCATGACTTCGGCACTCTATTGATATAAGAGCATAATCTTTGCACAAATTTAGCAGACCTGACAAGGAGGTGACTGGAAACATCTATGCCTACATCAGATTAATTAATCCAATTCTCAAGTCATATGTTCAGCACTTCCCAAACACATGCATTTTTGCTAAAACGTTACAATATAAAACCAGTTTCACATATGAGTAGCGTGCCTAGGCAAGTGCACATGTTAAAGTCATATATTACAACTTTTCAGTTCCTAAAATACCCTACTTTACTGTGCTGAAGGTTTTTACAATTCAATGGCTAAATAAAGGCGTTATTCATGTCAGTTCATCTCATTGCATCATTATACACTACATCCACTAAGAAACTGAGTATATGTGGTTACTGTTTTTATGTGGTTCCTGTGTCACCCATACAATGATAGCATAACCTGTGTGGGTTGGTTTCAATGTGAACTGCAGTGTTTACTTTACCATTACAATACTAGTTCACATAAACTAACTAAACTGAGTCAAACATGATGTCATTATTGCACAGTGGAAAAAACACTCACATCATCCATTCTCCATAGGTCATTGCTCAGGCATTCAGTCTGACCATAAGTGATTGCATTCTTTAGGAAATCAGTCCCACTGCCATCATCCTGAAAACAGAAAATAACAATAATCAAGAAGTGTTGTCCTTGGGAAACAACAACGGACACTTGTCATTTGATAGAGCCCTGCTGAATGCAGTACTTACTCTGTCAGTATCCTGCAAAACTGCAACAAGCAATCGAATGTATTCCGTCGCAGCTTTGAGTGTGTCCACTTTACTGGGCTTACGGTCTGGTCGCATTATTGGCACCATGCGCTTCAAGCGGGAGAACATGGTGTTCAAGTTCCTGATCTGCAGAGAACAGAGGCTAAAGTTTCATATCAACTGTTCTCCAGATTAGTAAAATTGTCTCTTAGGTGATGTAACCACACTTAAACAAAGCACAACAATGATGGAGAACATGAAGATTTTAAAGCACTTTAAGCAGTGACATTTGTCTTGACCTCACACCTCATTTCTGACAGTATGAGCTTTAACTCTTTTGCAAACACTGGCACATCAATAAATGTGTTCTTTTTGTCCTGATTGGATCATTATGTACAGTGTTCAGTTTTCTCCATAGCAAAATAATAGGGCTTCATACAGAAACTGCTGCAGCAACCCAAGCCAGCACAGGTCTTCAAATGTTAATCTAAAGTCAGTCAAGCTTTGTGAATTGGATTTCCAACCATGTTGCCAACTAATGTCACCAGCGCTGTCAAATTACAAACAGAACAGAAAATACTTTGTCTACTTTTTGCATGCAAAAGGTAGAAATTGATCTTTGGTTTACATGTGTGAAATGTGCTAATAAAAAGACCCATCATCATATCACATACTGCCAGGACACATTTAAACAGATTTACATAAAAACACAGTACACAACAGAACATTAAAAGAAGCACCGTGTACTTGATGGTGAGGACTGAATCACGGTTGAATAAACAGATATAAAGTGTGTACTAAAGGTAGCAAGCCGTCTTCAAAAAGTGGCTGTCCTTACTAATGAAGGCATTTTATGGCTACATGGACAAATTATTTTCTATTGATGTTTTTTTTCTGTTCCCTGCCCTGAGGGCTGGGGCTTAAAGCAGAAAAATTATCAGTACAAATCATTGATTTCACAATACCATCATAATAAGACCTTCCAGAAACATGTTTGAAAATGAAGAAAACTTTTTTTTTTTTTTCATAATAAACCTTTTATATCCAATGATTTATTTTCCAGGTTTAACAGGGTTAATGAAATTCCAGTCTGCTTCCATCACCTTTGTACCAGACTGCATTTACAAACCTTGAAATTAAAAGAAGGTCGGGCTTACTGCTGGATATAAAACTCATAAAAACAAGATTTATCTCTGTATTTTTTTTTATCTAATATTGTCCATGGGTAAACTTTATAATCATGTTGCAGCCATGTTGATGAAAAGCCTTAAAATAAAGCAGAGCTAGCTGACTGATTGTGGTTGGCCTGTAAACCCAACATAGTTCAGCTGGACAGTAGTAAAACTCCTTAAGTTAAAATGAATTAAGTTACTGCTGTGCTTCAGCAAGTTGGTTTGAATGACTGGTGGTGTGTGAAAAAATATCATGACTGACAGGTGTTTACAAGGTTTATAGCATTTGCGGCTAAGCTAGCTCCATTTCAGGATAAACAGAAGAGCCTCGGCTAATTTATGTGCTAGCTAATGTTAGCTAACAAACTCAAGAGTTTGACTTGAGTTTCTCTTCTCAGGGGAACTCAACCATGGTAACACTCACCCTCAGTCTCTCCTTGGCGTTGACCAACTCTCTTTTCTTCACAGTCTCACTGAAGTCCTCGGCCACAAAGTATGAGCCGTCCTTCCCTCGTTTGAACTTCTCTATGTTGCTGTACGCAGGCAGTGCAGACTCTCCTGTTAACCGCTTCAGGATGTCGCTCATTAATTCCTCCTCTGGCACCTTCATTTTAATGAGTAGCATATGTTCACACTGACAATCTGTTAAGTGTGTTTATTTCATTTTTCTATATGAAGTCATGTTCTCAGAGCAGACAGGAGGCGAGCTGTAGGAGAGCGGAGGATCACACCTGTGTGCTATGTGTTTAATTAGGGCTCTGCGGCAACCTGAGGTTGTCCATCAAATGTCAGCTGAATCTGACGGATACACGGCGCAGTTGTGAGTTATTACTTCTGTGGTATACACGTTTCTTATGTCAAGAAACGGTTTAACATATTCCCTGTGTTATCTGAGGTAAAAATGGCCAATATGCGAAACATGCTCATACAGTCTATGGTTCAACCATAGGGGTTCAACTTGCTTAGGGACTGTTCGTCAGTTATGAGAGGGGAGGGGGTGGTTCAACACAGGGGAGGCAATTAAATATTTTTTAAGCACTGGGAGTTAGTTATGTCTTTTGCTTTGTATTAGGGTGGGACTAGGCTGACCAAACGTCCTCTTGCCCGGACATGTCCACTTTTCACTTCCCGTCCGGGGCGTCCGGCATATTTCTGTCCGAACCCGAACCGAGCCCGACATTATTTAATGACCAAAGCACTGAGTTTGTGTCACACAGTGGTTACAGGCTATTTAACAGGCCGGGCGTGCGTCGTGGGTGCTCAGCTGCGGAGAGGGAGACCTCCGTGTTTGAGACGGGAGTGGGTCTGAGGCTTCCAGCAAGAGGAGAGGGAGAAATAAAACAAAATAAGATAAAATAGGAAAAACCTGTCTCCCTCTTTTATTTTATTTTATTTATTTTTTTATCTGGAGGTCTGAGACTTCCAGAGAGGAGAGAGGTAGAAACAAACAGCCAATAGGCTCGTTCGAGATGAACTGCGCCTCGCCTGAAAAGTAGACGAGAGCAGGCGGCCGCAGCAGGGGGGCGGTGACAAAAAGCTGCGGTGAAGTCGGACAATTTCCAGCAGCCTTCAGTCCGCGCAGGAAGTCACAGACACACTAACATCCTGTCTGGAATGATGTCAATTCAATAAAAAAGTGATCAGACCCATATATCAGTTTGTTTTCACCATCAGTCACACAACATGTTTTCTGTTCACAGAATAAACCTTAAGATCAGACAAATACAATCTTATTCAACAAAAATGAGTAGTTTATCTAAAACGTCATATTGTTGAGTTGACATCTAAACCAATCTGCATCAGGTGAGAGCCAGGCGGTGCAGTCGGTGGAGAGCAACTGCAGCGCCTGGCTTTACAAAGGCCCAATTCCAATCCGGTCCCTTAGCCCTGAACCCTCACTGACGTAACTGACGTCAGCTGTGATTGTAATTGATTGAGTGTGAGAGTCTGAAAGGGCTCCGGATGCTACAAATAGGAATGGGACAAAATGTTGTTAACATTAGCGGCTCTGGGCGTGATCATTCATCAGTTATTGTCAGCATATATTCCACACACAAAGAATATATATATATATACAGTACAGGCCAAAAGTTTGGACACACCTTCTCATTCAATGCGTTTTCTTTATTTTCATGACTATTTACATTGTAGATTCTCACTGAAGGCATCAAAACTATGAATGAACACATGTGGAGTTATGTACTTAACAAAAAAAGGTGAAATAACTGAAAACATGTTTTATATTCTAGTTTCTTCAAAATAGCCACCCTTTGCTCTGATTACTGCTTTGCACACTCTTGGCATTCTCTCCATGAGCTTCAAGAGGTAGTCACCTGAAATGGTTTTCCAACAGTCTTGAAGGAGTTCCCAGAGGTGTTTAGCACTTGTTGGCCCCTTTGCCTTCACTCTGCGGTCCAGCTCACCCCAAACCATCTCGATTGGGTTCAGGTCCGGTGACTGTGGAGGCCAGGTCATCTGCCGCAGCACTCCATCACTCTCCTTCTTGGTCAAATAGCCCTTACACAGCCTGGAGGTGTGTTTGGGGTCATTGTCCTGTTGAAAAATAAATGATCGTCCAACTAAACGCAAACCGGATGGGATGGCATGTCGCTGCAGGATGCTGTGGTAGCCATGCTGGTTCAGTGTGCCTTCAATTTTGAATAAATCCCCAACAGTGTCACCAGCAAAACACCCCCACACCATCACACCTCCTCCTCCATGCTTCACAGTGGGAACCAGGCATGTGGAATCCATCCGTTCACCTTTTCTGCGTCTCACAAAGACACGGCGGTTGGAACCAAAGATCTCAAATTTGGACTCATCAGACCAAAGCACAGATTTCCACTGGTCTAATGTCCATTCCTTGTGTTTCTTGGCCCAAACAAATCTCTTCTGCTTGTTGCCTCTCCTTAGCAGTGGTTTCCTAGCAGCTATTTGACCATGAAGGCCTGATTGGCGCAGTCTCCTCTTAACAGTTGTTCTAGAGATGGGTCTGCTGCTAGAACTCTGTGTGGCATTCATCTGGTCTCTGATCTGAGCTGCTGTTAACTTGCGATTTCTGAGGCTGGTGACTCGGATGAACTTATCCTCAGAAGCAGAGGTGACTCTTGGTCTTCCTTTCCTGGGTCGGTCCTCATGTGTGCCAGTTTCGTTGTAGCGCTTGATGGTTTTTGCGACTCCACTTGGGGACACATTTAAAGTTTTTGCAATTTTCCGGACTGACTGACCTTCATTTCTTAAAGTAATGATGGCCACTCGTTTTTCTTTAGTTAGCTGATTGGTTCTTGCCATAATATGAATTTTAACAGTTGTCCAATAGGGCTGTCGGCTGTGTATTAACCTGACTTCTGCACAACACAACTGATGGTCCCAACCCCATTGATAAAGCAAGAAATTCCACTAATTAACCCTGATAAGGCACACCTGTGAAGTGGAAACCATTTCAGGTGACTACCTCTTGAAGCTCATGGAGAGAATGCCAAGAGTGTGCAAAGCAGTAATCAGAGCAAAGGGTGGCTATTTTGAAGAAACTAGAATATAAAACATGTTTTCAGTTATTTCACCTTTTTTTGTTAAGTACATAACTCCACATGTGTTCATTCATAGTTTTGATGCCTTCAGTGAGAATCTACAATGTAAATAGTCATGAAAATAAAGAAAACGCATTGAATGAGAAGGTGTGTCCAAACTTTTGGCCTGTACTGTATATCTATATCTCTCTCTCTCTCTTTCTCCATATATATGGATAGATAGATAGATAGATATGACTTCATGTGTGTTTATGTACCATCCTAAATCCTTGTTAATGTAATGTTTCATTGTTTATCTATCTGTTTTTTCGCTCTCCTTCCATAACATTACCGTTTGCATATCTGCTGACCGTGTTTTCGGTTTTTTTTTATAACACTTCCGGTGTTCCGAGGGCAAACCCTGTACTTGACATCACAACGCTATGAACTGTGGGTAATTTCCTTACCGTAAGTCCGCATCGATGCTGACCTACGTTAAGGGGGCATAAAGGGCTCACTCACTGACTCACTGACTCGACGATTTGACAATGGGACAGCCCTCACACACTCACGCACTTCACATGAACGCGCCTCTAAGTCAGTGAGTCTGTATTGGATCGGATTGGAATTGGGCCAAACTGCGGCCGCCTCTCTCTCGCGGCTTTATCGCCATCCACTTTTGTAATACCTCAGAGCAAGTCGGGATGAAGTCGGACACAAAACTAACCGGCATGCATTGTGCGCCGATCGCCAGTGATCGAATCTGCGCAGGACTGGCTCATCTGGAACAAACCTAAAGTGTGTCTGTGTGTGTTATGTTCAGGTGTTGTCACATAAATAACAGTGCCCAAGCAATAAACAGGACAGACAATAGGATTTCATTTATTTTTACACTACATTTTCACTGAAAGCTGACTGAATCCGACCCGAGCCTGAATACAATTTATAGCTACATTTTTGACTAAACCCGGCCCGACCCGTCGGGTACCGTCGGGCTCGGATCGCCACACTCTAGTGTGTGTATGTGTCCCCTATTGAGGCCTATCTGAATTTCTGTCTTTGAGAGATATTATTTTGTAATATAACTGAATTTTCTATCCATACATATAAATTTTAAATATATTAAAATTATAAGGCATCTTTGAGTAAACTGCAAGTATCATTTAAGTAGGCTATGTCGTGGCCGGCCAAGTGTCCTCTTTTTTGGAAATCAAAATATGGTCACCCTCTAGGTGGGACTTAAGTTTAAATTGTCATATTTTGTATTGTTTCAAATACCGTTGGAACCCTAAAACATCGTGCACCTATATTCCGCTGAGGTGCACACAGTGCGACAATCATAAAAATTATGGACTTAGCTACCGTGGACTCAGCCTTTGGTCTGTGGATTTGAATTCAGCATTTCATCTGTCACCATCTTGGATTTTTTAAGCCAGAAGGGACCATTTAGGCGAGAGGCTGTAGCTGTGGAGGCATGAAGGGTGGATTTGGCTGAGAAGCCGAGGACATTATTGGCAGACAGTCTGTCACTCAAAGCAACCCGCCCACACTTCCTGTACAGTTGTCATGAATGAGAAAATTAGCTATAGAGAACAAAACCATTTATTTATTTATTTATTTTTGGCATTTTTGCCTGCATTGATAGGACAGCCAGATAGACAGTAAAGGTAGGAGAGAGAGGGCGGATGACATGCAGCGATGGGTCATGGGTCTGAGTCAAACCGTGTTGCCTCAAAGGACTCAGTCTATGGGGTGCACAGTCCACCAGGTGGGCTAGATGTTGCCCCAGAGTTGGGCAGTTTAACATGGGTGTCGAGGATTGACTGGCTTCTGGAGACAGCCTCAAGCGGCAATTCAAAGACCATTAGTTCATTTTTCAGCTCAAGAGGCTGCCGCTTAGTGATGGTGCGACTTTTAAGGAGGATTTGCATTTTACATAAGAAATTAGCTGTTTGTTTTGGTGACAACTCTCTGTTTGCTCATTGGCTTTATATCTACATTTAGTGTGAATTTACAAAAAAAGGTCATGCATTTTCCCCCAGTCACTCAGGGAGGCTGAAGGAAAAACTTTGGACAGGGTCAAGATGCCAGCCTCCTTCTCTTATAAGTAAAGTAAAATATGGTCAAACCTGCTCAGTGGGTACAGTATCACCAGTTTTGAGAAAGTTAGTTAGTAAGAAAATAAAGGACAGAGGAATTGAAAGAAGGATGAAAGTCAATAAGGAATGCTGAAGGTCACAAAAAAGGAAGAAAA